ATATATATATATATATATATATACCCATGTTTATTGCAGAACTATTCACCATAGACAAGATATGGAAACAACCTAAGTGCTCATTGATGGATAAATGGATAAAGAAAATGTGGCATATATGTATTACTCAGCCATAAAGAAAGAATAAAATGTTGCCATCTGCAACAGCATGGATGGACCCTGAGGGCTTATGCCAAGTGAAATCAGCCAGACAAGTACTGTATGGTCTCAAGTACATGTAGAATCTAAAAGCAAAACAACGAAGCTCAGAGAACAGAGTGGCGGTGGACCAAGGTAAGGGTGGGAGTCAAAAGGGACAAACTTCCGTTATAAAATAACTAAGCCGTGAGATGTAATGGGCAGCATGGCGGCTGTGCTTAAGGATAAGGCATTGCTTGAAAGTAGCTAAGAAAGTAGATATTAGAAGTTCTCGTCACAAGGAAAAACGTTCTGTAATTACGTGTGGTGACAGAAGTTAACAGACTTGATGTGATCATATCACAATACACACACACATCCAATCATGTTGGATATGTGAAACTAATATGTTTGTGTCAATTATACCTCAATAGAAAATAAAGGGGAAGAAACCGAGGCCCAAAGATGTTAGAAACACGCCCAAGCAGCCACCCAGGGAACTCCGACCCAGGCAGTCTGGCTCCCAACCCGACCTCACTGAGCTGCGTCAGCTGGTTCAAGCCCAGCATTCCTGGTTCCCTCTGAGCTCCTGCATGTAAGGACTTTCTTTTGTGAGTCTCTCTCCACCCACACAAGTGACTCTGGGGGAGAGGTGCTAACTCCAAACCATAGCAGGTCCCAGCAGGGGTGTGGGACAAGAGCTCCTGTCTTTCAACTCTTCTATATAAAAGTTTTCAGAGTATAAAGAAAAAAGAGCGAATGACACATGTGAAAGCATCTGTAACCCACGGCAGCCCGTGGTTCTTTCAATGACGGGCAAGTGAGCAAGCTCTCAGGTGTTCAGCAGCCACGCTTGGCTGGTGGCCACAGGTGTGGGCAGCTGTAAGCCAGCCTACATTGGGCTTCAGTGAAAGGAGAGAAGACCACCCTCAGATATCCTATGACTGCCGTGCGTGTGCGTGTGCGTGTGTGTGTGTGTGTGTGTGTGTGCGCGCGCGGGTGCCAGTGCCGGGCAATGCCTATGCCCCAGCTGGGCTTTCCTGCTCGTCCCTGGCTGCACAGGTGCACCGAAGCAGGAGTCCAAGCTGCCCTGTGTTCTCCTGTCCCCTCATTTCTCTTAAGCTGCTTGGAGCCACCAAAAGCCACTTGCCCTTCGAGGCTTAATCATCCTCGGGCTGGTGTTCCCAAAGCCTGCTTGGCCCTGGCTACCACTTACCCCGGGGCAGACGGCGGCTCCTCTTCAGGTGCCTGGCGGGGCAGAAGGGCATGGTGCGGGAAGTGGTGAGGCTGTGGTAGGAGGAGCAGTCGCCAGGCACTGCCAGGCCCTGCCAGGCCAGGGACAAGGCTCCGGGAACTCAAGGCAGGAGCAGTGCAGGGCGAGCACTCTGCTGGGCCCTGAGGCCCTTTTGTCTCTCTGGGAACTTGTGCACTTCTAGGGGCCCCAGGGCTGGGACTGTCCGGGGTGGAGCAAGGAGGAAGCAATCCCCTGCGAGTGTGGGGCTGCTGGGCTTCCTACAGTGGAAATCCCTGCGCAGGTCCCTGGCCCCCGCCGCCTGCGCGCTCCCTCCCCTGCCTTCTTGGGCCAGAGCACGGGCAGGAGGCCTGGCCGGTCCATCCGTCCCCCAGCAGGCCAGGGGCTGAGAGCACAGGCGGACCCCAGCCCCACCAGCTGTGCCTCCCGGTCTCATCCCCATGCAGGAAGCCTGATAAATGCAAGTGCTAACTGGAAATATGTTTCTATTCTCTGTTTCCATTTCTTCATCAACAAGAAGCCAGGAACTGGACCTGCCTCTCGAGGTGCTGGTGCGGACTGAATGAGACAAGGAAGGCCTGGCCTGGGTGGCATGCCAATGCTTCCTCAGCGCAGTCACACCCTCTAAGGGCACGGACACCCTGTGTTACTGACAGGGCAGCCAGAGAGCCCCCAGAGCTTCCAGGGGCCCAGGGCCATCAGCTGGTCCGAGGCAGCCATGGCATTTGCACTTCGCAGTTCTAGATTCTGTCCATGCAATCAGCCGCCACCAGTGCTTCTGCAGGAGGCAGTGAGACAGACGGGAGCAGAGCAGGGCCCATGGGCCAGGTACAATCCCCAGGGTGGAAGCCCACGTGCCTAGCAATGGGCAAAACTGGGAAAACAGGGACTCGCCCCCAAGGTGACCTCTCCTCCCAGCACATCGCTGGGCCTGCGCCTGGGACCTCACCTGGCCTTTCCTCCCAGGCCTGTTGCTAGTCCTGCAGTTAGACCCCTGGGGGGGACGAACAAGGGGCCGGAGAGCAGCCCTTCAGCATGAAGCCCCAGGTCAGCGAGGTTCTGACCCGCATCAGACACATCCAGGCTCAGTTGCGCTTCAGCTCCAGGCCCAGAAAAGCAGCCAAACCGGACAAAGAAGCCATGGCTGCCTCGAACCAGCTGCACTACCAGTAACCCCTGCCTCGACCAATCAGTAGAGACCATGACCTGAAAGGCCACACCTGGAAGGCTGAAGAATATTCTATTGGGATCCTCCCTGAGACCCCAGATAAATACTCTTAAGACAAGGACCCAGGGGGGTCTGTCTAGGGGGCACTCCTGGGCCTTTCCCCGCCCCCTTCCCAGGGGGCGTTTTCCTTGCCTCTCTTTTTCCTCAGCCCAAGGGCCCTTCTGCCTCTGTAACTTGCTCCCTGAGCCCATTTCTTCTACGCTCACCTCTTCTACTCTGGGACTTTCTAAATAGTGTAGATATAGTTTGAGTCTTGGCTCTGAACTCTTTCCTAGCCAGAACTCAAATTCCCAGGTTGCCCCACCGGTCTAACACCTGGTGGCATTTCTGCCACCAACTCTTCCAGCACGGAGGGCCTGAGCAGAGTGCCTGCCCCACCTGTCTTCGGGGCCCGAGGCAGTGCACCCACAGGCCCTCACTGGCCACCTTTCCTTTAGGGCCAAGACAGCAACAGCAACCAGACACACTGACAAAGCGTCCCCAGCCCCAGGCAGAGTTAGAGCCCCCGCCCCAGCCCCTCAGTACCCAGCGCCCCCACTGTGCCCCCCAGCCCAGCACTTGTCCTCTGTGGGGTTTGCACACCGTACGTGGGCTTCCTATTGCACCTCTTTATATATATATATTCTTTTTTCTTGATTTCAGAGAGGAAGGAGAGGGGGACAGAGAGAGAAACATCAATGATGAGAGAGAATCATTGATTGGCTGCCTCCTGCACACCTCCTACTGGGGATCGTATCTGCAACCCAGGCATGTGCCCTGACTGGGAATCGAATCTTGACCTCCTGGTCCAGAGGCTGTCACGACACTCAACCACTGAGCCACGCCGGTCACGTCAGCCGGGCTCCATTCCACCTCTTGATGAGCTGGAACCAAAAGCGAAATACTTGTTGGCTTGAGACAGGCAGGGGCGCAGAGGGTTCCAGAACTCCCAGCCGCCCAAACCAACAGCAGCAAAGCCCAGGATGGCCTCAGGGGCCACAGGAGTGGGGATGCAATGTGGCGCAATCATATGGAGCCATCAGAAATGAGCACTGCATCCCATTTTTAAAGACATACAACACAGTGACACTACAGGCCACCCTAAGGCGGAGATAGAGCCTCTGAGACACAGGGAGGCCCCGAGGGGCTTCTGAGAAAGGCTGCCTGACTCTCATCCCCGGGCGGGGCGTGTCCTGCCTGCTGGCCGGATGCCCGGGGTCCTGTGGTGACCACACTGAGCAGCCATGGAGCGAAGCCTCAGGCTGAGGAGGCCCGAGGGGGTCTGCAGGCCTGAGACCTCCCTGATTGGCTGAGCTCCTGCCTGGGTCCCAGGAGCTGCCTGTCGGGGTGTCTCAGGCTGTGAGAATAACACATCGCCTTCCATCTGAGCCGGGTGGGTGGGCCTTCCTGCTTCCTGCAGCTGAGAGCACCTGGTGCCCACACCCCGAGAGCCACCAGGGACCCTGATGGCTGCCCGGGTTCCCCAGGAGCCGCCAGGGAGGGGCGGTCCCAAGGGGCGAGGGCACACTGGCGCCCTGCAGCCAGGAGGAAGGGGACACCTTGAAAGGCACGGACAACACTGACATTCACTGTGATGAAAAGTCTCTGTTAATAGAAACCCATGATCCTTCCTCAGCATGGACAGCCCCAAAGCCAGGGCTGTGCTCAGTGGAGAGGCGCAGCCTCCCCTCAGGGCCAGGGGCCAGGCAGCACGTCCACTGTCCACTCTCCTCTGTTACGTAACAGCCTCCTGGAAGTGCTGACCAGCACAGCAGCCAGAGGAGGAACAGACACCCCTGAAAGCTGCAGGGCAGGGCGCAGTGTCATTACGGCTGCTGCACTTTTCGGTTATCTGCTTACATAGGCGAAAACCTAAGTCAAGAAATAAGCAATACGAGAACTACAACTCCAAGCAATAAGAGAATTCAGTCCGGCAGCCAGATACAAAATTAATGCACAGAAGTTACAGTCGGTTCATAAAGTAGAAGAGACCGAAGTGCATGCCATCATATAAATAGGAAAACAACATAACAAGTGCCAATGCCCCCTCGTTTAGTCTGTAAATTTAACACAAAATACACTAATAGCATCTTTAAAAACAGACAAATTGATTCCAACATTCATATGTAAAAACAGCAAATGCATTTTTTGTAGAAAAGAGTAAGGAGGGCAGAGCAGCCCTAGTGACGGTCCATGCAGAGGACTCAGCGGCAATAACAGACAGCCGGTCCTGCACCCACGGACAGGCGGCTCCCACACACCGGAGCTCGCGATAAAGTTCAGAGGTGATTTCAAATGGGCAAGTACAAGGCTGTTTAACAAATGGTACAGGGAGAACTGCATGAAAAATCACCAAGTTGAAGCCTTACATCACACCTTAAAACGTAATGATGGGTCAAGGATTTAAGGATGAAAAATGAAATGACAGAGAACCAGGATCGACTGTGGGAGGAATTTCGTGTCATCTTGAGATGAAGTAGGAAAGGCCTGTCTAAATATGACACAAAAGACAGAGGCCACAAAGGAAAGTTCAGTGCAGAAAAGTTAAAAACATGTGCCCGGTGAAGAAAAGAGGAGGGATCTACACTCTGGGCAGGTGGGAAAGCAGAGGTGCGCTGTCACGCTTTGCAGCGGGTGGGGAGGAGGGATGTGCTTATCTGTTTGAAAATGTGCGGACATCTGTGGAGGAGAACGATGATGTGGAGTAGCGGATCTCAGAGAGAAGTGCTGGCCGGGGAGGAGGGGTGCTGGGGGCTGACTTTTTGGCTTTTGGTATTTGAACCATGTTACCTATTTTAAGGACTAAATAAACATAGAGTTTAATCTACAGAAACAAGTGAGAGAAACCTTGCATCTCGTGTGGGTGGTGCGGGTGGTTGGGGGGGGGCAGTGAAGGTGGGCTGGGCGCTGGGTGGGGAATCGGCGGCAGTGGGCAGTGGGAGTAGATTCTGCACAACCTCTTTACCAGCGTGTGGCAGACAGTTGACAATATCTATCAAAATGTTAAGTTGTAAATGACTATCCATTCCTAAGGAATTCACTCTCCCAATAAATTTACTCGTGCTTAAGGAGCAGGAAGGACAAATTGAGAACACCTGAAGCACCCATCAAGTGAAATAAGGAATAATGTACTAGTTAAACAAATATGTACGTCGCCCAGGAGGCGACGGGACCATGTGATATAGGACAATACATTATTACGTGGAAAAGCAAAATACAGCGTGAAGAATATGCTGCCATTTGTGTCCGAGTGACAGGCAGGCACAGGGTGTGGCTGTGCGGGGGAGGGGAGGGGGCTTCGGGAGGGCAGGCAGGGCCAGGACACCAGAGGCCTCCTCCTCCCCACAGACTCCGGCCCGTCTGCGTGTGTTATCACAGGCACAGATTACTTTCTTGAAAAAAGACTTTCCTTTCGTTGCTAAGAGAGGGGGCAGCTCGTGAGTTTGCCCTG